CCGGTTCCAAGCTCGAAACCGCTTCTTCAATCGTATCTTGTCGCTAGGCTCGGCGGCTCGCTAGCTTCTGAGCAGCTACCGGCATCGACCACGATGTGCCACTCGCAAACAACCGACAATCGGTCGGATCAAAGCGACCCTCGGCAGCTGTCCACCACGCTACTTCCTGCCAGAAAACAAACGGCAACAATTCCACTATCACGTCACCCGTCCATTCCGGGGACCTTTGACCTTTCAATGGAAGCCGAGCATACTCGATCGACATTGGCAGCCTTCCCGGGCGCAAACGAAAGCTCGAGTCACGAGTCAGAACGCCGAACGCCATAAGGCACTTGGAATCTTGTAGTGGCAATGGAAACTCGGCTGACTAAGCTCTGTCTAAAACACCACTCAATTCTTCCTCCTCACCCGATTCCGAGGGACGGCAATCCTCGTCTTAATCACGAATTCCCTTGAGCGAGAAATTTACCACACGTTGCTTCAGACTGGGATTTCTGCTTCGCTAGAGCGTGAAGCTCAAAATCGATAAGTCCCGAGTTCGACCCCGGTTGGGATCACTCGCCTCTCTTCCTACTGGAATAAATACATGCAGACTACGCCATAGCAAAGATAATGAAGACTATGCTGTGCCTGTTACATGTCAGGTGTCGACTCTGCTTTTAAGTATGACATTCATGGCTGATGCTATAGAAATGGCGATCAGTGCTCCACCATTAATCTCCTGAAAGGAAGAGTGCCATAAATATCTCTCAGTCACGAATGTATAAGGAGGACCGACATTCCAACGGTTGCAAACTTTCCTTCTTGTTCAACCTTGTTCCTCATGAGAACATTAATTGCATTCGAATTTAAAGAATGCTTTACTACGCTGCACCACAAATAGCTTCGAACGATTCCTGATTCTCGTCCAGGATTTGAATGAATATCTCACTTATCGATAGGGAATATTGGACTCGAACCAAGAATCGACAAATGGGATGTTCACCCTCAATCGCATACTACTGTCATTCAGGACATAGTTCCATGGCAGGCACAATAAAACATCACCTTGATTAATCACGTTAAGGTCGTGAGCCGTATATATTACATAGTATATGCATGTATATGCAAGTACTTTGTAGACACAAGTATATGCATGATTCTGGTAGGAAAGCATGCACTCCATTAGCAGCGCGTTCCACTGAGACTGCTCTGACGACGATCAAGGACAAGAAATTGCTCTGGCTGATGATGACAATGAGAAGGATTATGAAAATGATGGATGCATCTATGCACTGGAGTCGAGTCTGCATAAATGTCTCATACCATTGAACAATTACGAATAAGAGGGAGATGCGATGTGTCACGAAACTTAATACTCGGGAAAGCAATGCATCAATCTGCTTACTGTTGTGATAGGCGAAACACCAATAATCGACATATGATCTGTTTAGCATTTTATAGTAAAGATATGCTGGCAACGCTGATCTGAGGTTTTCCCTGCAGAGGCTTCATTTTCAGCGGATAACCAGTTGATGAGGTTTCATACGTTCGTCAAGGACACGAATTGTGTCGTCTTCTTAAATTACATCAGGATGGTTGACATCAAGCCATTGATGAATCTGGCACATTCATGCCACATTCTTTTTTGCGATGCTATTAGACAAAGTATCTTTCATCAGCTTTCATGCAAAAGAGCGTCTTTCCTGTTCTATATTATTCAATCAGCATGACTGCAGTGGGGACAATGGGTCAGGCTGGCAACCAACGCTAAACGCCACTGGCTTGGTGTCGTCTCTCCTGACGTTTTTTTTATTGCTTATTGGTGTAAGGGTGAAATTTGGTTAGTTTACAGCAAGTGATCAAGTTACGTCCTGTGGAACCTTCATTTCCAAAGTTTTTCAGGAAAAGGGGATTTGCCGTCAGATTCAGCATTTTCTGTGCTTAGATGTGTGATCGATCCACGAAGATATATATATAAGCTGGCCAAGCCATCTGACCATCGGTCGTTTCCGTGGACAGTTGCGTTCTTGTAGTCTAGCAAAACCCTTGTAATTTGTAATTTTTCACATCCTCCAGTTGTGTCTCAGGCAAGCCATATGGCAGACTCATGTTCTCTTCGCCTCGTATATGGCAGATATCACGTTTGCTAATGGAGGCCACTGAGTTTCTCAATTCGAAAAATTTTCAACTATTAAATTCTGCTTTATCATCTGTCGTGAATCTCGTTTCTTTGAAAGTCACTCACGTGTTGCATTAAACTAATTTGAAAACAGGCCCGGTTAGAAACACGTCGGCTAGCCGTATGATCTTGAGTCACCGCTAATGAAGCTGAAAGACGTCGAAAGTTTGACATCTGTTTGGAAATGGGTCGCGACGCCTAAAACTCCACGAAATTGTTAAAAACCTTTTAACTTGTGCCTCTGCGATCGCATTCGGTTTCGCCCCTACGCGATATTTTAATTTTTACGGATTCCACCTCGATTTTATCCAAAACTGAATGATCGCTTGTAAATCTGGGCAAAGCCGTTGCACTGAACAGCAAGTCTAGATGACTGAAGGCACGTGTATCCTTCGGTGTTTCTATGATAGGTCACTTACGTTAAAAATGAACCTTTTGTCCCAATTCACATACAATCCGTTTTACTCTATCTGCCTCTCCTCACACATCTACAACAGCAACACTGACAACATCTTTGATGCATTGTTGCACTGAATAAGCAGCTAAGTAGCCATCAGGTAGGACATGACCAACTGCAGCCCATATTCGTACCTCTCACCCATTCAGGTATGACCACACCAGACCACCATGCGTCAACGTTGCTCGCGAGCTAGCGACTAGCTACCAGTTTCCCGGCTGGTTCCACCGAGGTAAGGTGGGATAAATTCCATTCTCGAGGGACTTAGCAAAAAATTAAGGAAAATATTGTTTTCTTCAGGACTCGAATCCGGCATTTCCGGAATATGCAGCTAACGTTTATTGCGGCACTGCTTCTGTCGTCCGCTTCACAAACTCACCTCCTCCTGCGATGAGAGTGAGAGGAAAATCAGTCTTGACAAGAATGAACCTTGTGTAATCCTATGTGCTCAGTATTTCATGCGAAGAAGTTAGACATCGTGAGGTAGCATTGACGAAGTGAGACCAGGCATCACGTGATTATAGACACAGATCTGTCACACGAGTGCAGTAATTCAGCAGTTAACTCGGTATATGAGGATAGACAGGGAGTTGAGTAATAATGCGAAGCCATCGGTCTTCGAGTCAGTTTGCAGTTGCCTAACTTTGTCTATAATCATGAATGGTGGATGCTGGCCGATGAACTGCGATTCCGGAAACAAGTGGCAGAAATGGCGCTTCTTCGAAACGCTGTCAACCTGACGAGGGACAGCTGTTCCGCATTCCATTCAGCTCGAGAGGTCAGCATTGCAATGTTTAGACAGGTGACTCACAATAGGTACTCTGAACGCAAAGGGCAGACCGAGAGCGAAACTGCTCGGGTATATCCAACAACTTGCACCTCGAACGCGTTTCACATTTATCGCCAAGTTCCGACATATTTCTTGCCTCTGTTGGTCCGTAGCTTCTGCGCGTCTCATCCAACAGAAGTGCTTTTGCAGGCTAAAATTCGTACCTGGTCAACTGCGGCTTACACAGAGGTCAGTGGTCAGTGGTCAGTACATAACAAGTGTTCTTGCAGGCTAAAATTCGTGCCTGGGCAGCAGTAGCCTACACAGATATCAGTGGTCAATGACAGATGGTTGGTCATTATATATTGAACAGCAGTTTTCTCAAACGCGTACGCCGCAAAGAGCCTACTATCGATGCAAGGACGGCCTAATCCACCCTTCTCGCGCGACATATAAAAGGGCGTTCCGGTTTCAACATTCTTGCAATTTTCATTCTTTTATTACATATAGGCAATATAGTGGCTTATGGAAGATGGAAAGTAGCCACTGTACTTATAGATTCCTACAGTTATTAAATTGATTCATTGGGCGTTATTCGTAGTACACGGACGCAAGGTTTCCTCACATAACAAACTTCACTCTCATGTCAGTTATTGGTCTTTGACATAGCGACGTTACTTTGTCGCTGATGGTACTGAGGGTACTCATACAGTGCAGTAGGACGCAAGAGGATGAAATAGCATAACTACGATGTCTGTGCTTGGCTGTATCTGTTCATCTAGACAATATTATGGCATTTCTAAAATTTGGTGCTGAACGGCCATGACAAAACCCTCGATTTAGGAAAAAGGTTGCACTGCCGTACCAAGCGATCGGTTTTCAATGTCTGTGAATGATATTTATGATTGGAGTTATTACAGCTGGATGCCTGGAAAATTCAAACCATGAACTAAAACATCAATGATGGTTTCTGTTAGGAGTTCTGATCTTTCTATGGATCGATGGACATTCGAGGATAAAGCAATTTCGCCTTATCTGTCCTGCAAGTGGTTAACTGGACTGTGGACGAATTTAAAACTTTGCTCAAAGTAAATTTCTCCAACGAAAGAAGCGGCTGCATCATAGATTCGATCAGTACCAACAGCTTTACTTGCACAGCTAAGGAAATTGACTGACCACTTGGGCTTTCTAAGCAATAAATGATCAGTCAATGGATCAGACGCTGCTGACAGCTATAGCTTCTATGTTCAAGACCTCCGCGCAAAACAATGACTGACTCACTAGTATGAATTTTAATATTTCATTGTTTTTATCTGTGCTGTTGTTTTATTGGTTATGAGGTGGGCGTGCCCATAAGCGACCGAAACCAGTCACTTGCCAAAATAGTTAAACAGCTGCCATTTAAAAGGCGCACCAAAAACAGCGTCCGTTTTGAGAGAGAACTGCAAGTGCGGAACTCGAGCTTGCAAAAACTCACATCGTAAACTCCTGGGTATAGTAAACAATATAATTAGGAAAATACTGAAAATCTGAACTGATTTCATATTATAACTTGTGTAAGTGAAAAGCTGTTTCATATGAGCAAGTGATGTCTGAAAGTTTGTCTATTTATTTAATAAAGCATTCGTTCATTAATTTCTTCCCTTTTCATGCATCATTCATTCTTTTGCTTCTCCAATAACCGTTAATTCATTAGTGATTCATTTATCATTAATTAACAATTTATTCACACCTTATTCATTTTTGCAATCAAAATTTATTTATCTATTCATTTAGCATTTTTCACTTATTCACTCGTTTATCTCGGAACAACGAAAACAAACGCTTCATGAATTCTAAAGCGTACAACGACACATTTGATTTAATCGCTAGAGAACAGCTTGCCGTGTCAAAGAACTCAAGGTAACGCTGGTTGTCATCCTGAAGATCATATGGTAA